ACAACACCTCTGGGCTCTACTTTGTTGTCAGAGACAAAGGAGGAGCCTTTTAAGCTCCAAAATGTGCAGCGCTGAGGGGCTAGGAGATGCTTGGAATCTAGGGGTGGGTTCTGGGTGTGTTCTGGTCCTCCACTGGTTACGAGTCCCAGACCCATTCTCAGAGAGCATCCAGGGAGGACACCTAGTACTTGGGCCCAAGATGTGCTTAGGAAATGATGAATGCCGTGGTCAAGCTTCCTGCATTGACCCATTCAGATCCAGCTTCCTCAGTGAGCATCAACAAATGGCAATTGGCTGGCTTACCCATCAGGCTGTTTTACTCCAACACCTCTAAGCATTTTCTCTCTAGCGTGGAATCAGATGACATCATAGCTCATGTCATGGATGCAGATTTTATATTCATAGCATCAGATGCAATGATGTCCCTCTGAAGGGGGTGAAAGGGTTGATGTGAGTAAAACTTGATCAATAACTGAACTTGTCACCTCTTGCCTGTCTTTGGAGCTTGGTCTCCCAGGTTGTGAGTGGCCCAAACAACCAGGAAGAAGTAGTATATTGTGACAGCACAAATGTCCCTATGGCTAAGCACTTGGTGGGGAGGTGTGTGTGTGTGTGTGTGTGTGTGTGTGTGTGTGCGCGCGCGCCTGTGTGTGTGTGCCTGTATGTGTGTGTGTGTGTGTGTGTGTGTGTGTGTGAGAGAGAGAGAGAGAGAGAGAGAGAGAAAGTGAGTGAGAGAGAGTGGTATCAATAAGCGTCCTCTTGTTTGGGGGACATGCAGCCTTTTTTGAGTTGGGAGAGAATTAGAAATATCTCAGAAATGAAGGTATAATCATTAGGCTGAATTCACATCATGTCAACCCCCTCAATCAATCCTGAGAATTCAGCCAAACACACCTAGCTGAAGGGCCTCCGATATCTACCCAAGGCTGGGATGTTTGGCTGCTTTCTCTGATCCTCTGGGAGGTCTGATCTGGGGTTAGCCTCTCTTGTGCTCACATGAGAAGTGAGAAATGAGAAACAGAAAGCCAGGGTATCTTCATACTTGGGGCACAGCCAACCCTGGTAATTTAGGAGCCCGAACTCTACTCTTTGTGGGGCTATTAGCCCTCACTATTATGGAAAAGGCTTTTCCATCCAGACAAATGAGAAATGAACACTCCCTCCTAATGGCAGGCAATAAGTCAGCGTGATTCTCTGCAGATCTGTGGGCCAGCCCCCTGCCAATCTTCCCGAGAAAGTGGCTGGCGCAAAGATGTTTTATCTCTTACGTCTTCTTCTCTAGCACATGTTAATAAAAGTTCTATATAAAAGTGAATGATAAAGGAGATTAAGACTTTTATTTCTCACACATGCCAAAACCCATCTTTTCATCCTGAATTATCCAGTTAGAGTGTCTACACCACCTGAGTTAATTAGTCTCATCAATGTCGAGCAAGCAATCCATCCACAAGGGAACAGACCAGACTTCCACCTCCTGCAAAGAAAATCACCTATACAAACAAATGCAAGGCACTGGCCTCCTGGAAAGGTAAATAGGCTCCTTCCTGACTTTTTTTTTTTTTTTTTAAGACAGCATCTTTCTATGTAGTTCAGGCTGGCTTCAAATTTTTAGTTCTCTTGCCTATGCTTCTCTAGTACTGGAATTGCTGCAGGTGTGTTCCACTCATTTTCCTGAAATGCTCTTCAATATCTATCACACACATACACACACACAGTGACTCACATTTACTGACAAACAAATCCTTATCTTGATACTCTGAGGCCAAGATCATGGTGGTAGGTTTGGTGGTGCCTTCTCTGAATTTGAAACATCTTTCCTCCAAGAAACTGGGAAATGAACAGGGCTGGTATCCATATCTCTTAGCAAGCGTGAGGTAGAGATGGCTTCTTCTTATGTATTGGATATATATTTCTAAGCCCTCACGGAGTGGCCTACTTCCTGGTGGGACATAGTGCTTGGGTCCCAAGGTGAGCTAAGGCAGAGAAGCCACAGTATGGACCCAAAGGTGCATCTCTGTTCAGGCATGGGAAACATACTGTGTGTCTTGGAGCATGCCTTGAGCTAGTCATCAGTGGAAAGATGTGCTAGACCTCCATCAGACAGAACTGAGTTTACCAGTGCTGTGGAGAGGGTCAGCTGGGCCAGAGGTCATCTCCAAGCAGAGTCCCTTTCCTTCCCTGGTGCATGGGAACTGCAAGTTATCAATTTTTATATGGCCAGCCTGGGCCACAGAAAACCCAACACCCACTGAAGAGCATCTGTGCCTGGACATGTGTGTTCCACCCTTTCAGGTGCTTCACATGGGTATTTCGGGCCTTGAACTTGGTACTTTAGAAACCTTCACCTTTTAGAATAGATAAATGGACTCAGAGAGGCAAGGTATCTTTCATTGGGCCTCCCCAGCTGTGGAACCTTTCAAGGATGACTTCAAAGTGGGTGCAATTTACATTGGCTCGTGGTCCCTGAATTTCAGCCCACTGTCAGCTGGATCCATTGAACTGAGCACAAGGCAGAGTATCATGGTGAGGAGGGAGTAGGGAGGCAGGGAGGCTCATTTCATGCAGCCAGGAAGCAGAGGGCAGAGTGAGGCAGATGTTATCTCAAAGACAGTCCACAGTGACCCACTTCTTCAACTACTTCTTGCCTCCGTTCAGTCATACACTTATCAACGAATTAATCCATTGCTGAAGTTAATGCCCTTGTAATCCAGTTACCACTCCATAACAGCAGTGGGGTAAAAGTCTTTGATATGTGAGTCTTTAGAGTAGGTTATTTGTATTCCAACAATATACAGAGCAACAAATGGACATAGCTAGGAATAGTCACCCTGTCTCTGAAGCCCCAGACATGGTGGATGATATATTCTGGCCTATAAACCACAGGCAAGCTAAACTGTTGGAAATATCTTTACTAGGCAAGTAGATAGAAAGAGAGAAATAGGATTATCCAAACCACAGGCTTGGAGCCCTCTCTATTTGTGGTGATATTAAAGAGAACATCCCATTAGTTCTAAGATATGGCTCCATGACTCAACTCTGGCTGAGACACTCCATATACACTGAAACCCAAAGGAGCCTGGGAAAGTCTGATACAGTGACTGAGACACTCATGTGCATGTGTGCGAGTCCAGCCACATGAATTCCTTTCCTTCTGGGTTGAAGAGGGATGCTGGAGGCTGAAAGAAAAGGATTCTATAGGACTGTGAACTGGTCCACTTTTCCTTGTGGCCTGTGGCAAGAAGGCAGCAGAGAAAACTAATGGAGCTGGTCCCAAAGAGAGACAGAATTATGAACACCAACAGTGCTGTCTGTGCAGTGAGATGCAATTGAGCAAGAGATCTAGAGTCAAACAGGCGCTCTCATAGAGAGGCACTGTGAAGGCACAGGGCAGCCTCAGAGGAGAGGGAGCAAGTGGGCACTGGTCTGGACCTCACTCAAGAAGAGCACATTGACCACAGACACCGTTATGCAGAATGAGGTTTGGAGTCTCAGTGATGGCCAGGGGCTAATGTCATCAAATCTCCCCTTATTCCTCTTATAAGCAACATGCTGTGGAATCAGACAGAGCAGACCTGAGCAGTAGGAACCAAATGTGAACTGTGAAGGCGAATGCAGCCTTGAGGGTGATGTGACATAAAGCCTGGGATGCTGCCAGGCAGGACCCAGGAAAGAGATGAAAGCGTCAATAGATACACAGAGAGAGGACTAGACAGACAGACAGATAATTTGCCTTTGTGGGTGTTATGGAAATGAAGCATATCAAAGTGGGGCAGGACCACTTAGAAAAAGTCTATCCCGAGAGTCACACACGCTCTCAACAATTATTATTGTCATTAATCATGTGTTGGGGGTTAAACTCGGGGCATTGGGCATGATAGGCAACCACACGATCACTGAGCCATACCTCAAAACCCCAACTGGTGAGTTCCAGACGTATGTTTTCCCACTAAGCTGTTGAGACAGTTCTCAGTCTCCCCTTGGTAGATTCCAAGCAAGCGCCCTCTCTCTGAGCCACACTGGTAGAAAATAACCAGGAGTTTTACTGCTGACCTGTGCCTCCAATGTTACTATTAATTAAAAATATCTTAAGTTGAGAGATCCCAGTAATTCATGCCAAAGAAGACACCTGAGCACGTTTACACACACTCACAGGACCAAGGCAAAATGTCTCTGGATTTAGGACTGGGAGTGTAGCTCGAGGGTTGAGCACTTGACTTAGCTGAAAATGCCCCAGGTTCAATCCCCAGTACTGGATGGGGGTGGGGTGGGGAGAGGATCATGTTACCTTAACTGCTTAGAAAATGAAGTGTGCATCTAGTCAGCTGTGTGGTCACCATGACGGATGTTCATCCCAGTTAGACACAGCCCTGGAATGCCTGTAACGGCACTAGGAGGGGCTACACAGAATGAAACAGCTTAGTAGACTCTCTATTGAAAATATTTTAATAGCTGGAGAATCTTTACTGCTTTGTAAATCTGTTCCAAGAGGTAATTAGCTTTGAGTTTTAATGATCTAGTCAATCTGCTTGACATTGGCTTACAAATACATAGCATTTGTTGATAAATGTAGGTTTTTCTTAGTCTGATGTGTCTATCTTTTTGGTGTTCTTTTTCCTATAAAATCCTCCTCCTTTCCACTATCAACGGGAACCTAGCAGAGGCTGTGAAGGATTCATTCTGTCTCCATACAGCCCACAGAATTAAAATGCTGAAAGGGAAAGTTAGGACAAGGAAATGGGATCTGAGTGTGGAGGAGGCTCCAAATTGTGGGATTACTCCTCTGGCTTCCCTGGGTTAAACTGGTCAAGTTGATCATGGATCACTCTCTTTCTCTGCGAGTGCGGTGACAAGCTCTAACACCATAAGCAAGACCTGCTCCATCCCATGAGCATAGTGCTAAAGTGCCACACAAAACTGCCTTTGCCATGGGAAGTCCACTTTATTAAGCAGGTGCCTGGTTAGGGTGTGAATCTGGGGCTGGAACCCTTGCCTTTTCCCACCTTGGCAAGCAGCACTTCCCATGCCCACGACAGCTGAAGCTCAGAGAACAAGCAGGGGACAGGGTGATGGCACAGGCCAGGTGTGACCCGGACAACTTGGCCACCCAGCCTGACTTGGCCCTGGAAATCCAAGCTGGTTTCTGTCTCCCCAGACCGGTCTCTTCTGCTCCAGCCTTGCAGAAGCTGGCGCCTGGCACCCTGGCTCACCAAGATCCTCTCCAAATTGCCTCTGTCCAGGTCCTCCTTCTCAATATTTCTGGAAGTGTGTGCCACTGCTTTGTCATATGGAGATGGATAGAGGCAGGAGAAGTGGGCGAACGGGGCCTGGGTCTTAATGTCTCTTTTCCTTTCTTGTTGGTGAATTAATATCCCTTTGCCTTTCTTGGTGGTGAAGAGGCTGCTTCAGGGTATTGAAAATAACCCAGACCCCACTCCCTGTGAAGCCTGGGGCATGTTTATCACGGTGCCAATAAAGGCGGCACGATTTATGGTTCTGCTTTTTAATTCATTCAATTCTCTCTTCATTGGGAGGTTAATGCTGTTGATCTATTTTCTCTTGAAACAAATAAAAACAATATGTGCTGACACTGGCTTGGACTTTTGACATGGACCAGAGAGGTCAGCATTTAATTTTATATTTATAGACTACACAGACAATATTATCTGTGTTAGAGACTGCTCACTCAATCCTTGTCATTTTACAACTTGGGTCAGAGGCTCCCATCTCCTGCCTGGCACTCCTTCTCTTTTCTCCTTTTTCTCTATCTCAGTCCAGGTTTTCTCTTTCTGTTTATTCTTCCTATGGCATGGTGCCTTTTGTATTTCTTTGTTGTTCCTACTCTTTGTACATTTGCTTTTCCATGGTCTGTCTTTTATCATCTATCTATCTATCTATCTATCTATCTATCTATCTATCTATCTATC